GTCTTGAGAGCCATCGGGCCTTCGGTTGGTTCAGAACACCTGGTGGTCAGGTTCCAAGGACTTCTGACCCTAGGAGCGATGTTGAAGAAGGTCAGGAAGTTCTTTGCGGTGATCGATGATCATTTTTCTGAGCCGAATGCCGAAAGCTACCGGGTGTCTATTCAAAACTACCTTGCGAAGCACCTTCCTAAGGTAGGGGAGGTCCTTAGGGCCTGGAACGAGCTTAGGGACTCTCTTGGGGAGCCACTTGATCAACAGTTCCTTCCTCAAGAACCTAAAGAGTATTTAGATGCGGTTTTAAGCTTGTTGGAGAACTATCGGGAGTGTAATCAGGAACCTGGGGGCAGGTTAGACTTTAATTCTGATGCAGAGAATCCTGACCTTGGAACCAAGCTCAGGGTCATTGAAGTTAACTATTGGTTGGACCCTAAAGCTTACGAGGTAAAGGAAAAACTGTTTAGCAGCTCTTTGACGTTCTTGGTTGAGTCTTTAGAAGGTTCGGAAAATTTAGTTGGAACCTTGAAGACAGTCCTAGGACCCTTGAAGCCATTTCAAGAGTGTCCAGAGCACTTGGACATCTGGATCCAAGCGCTGGGTTGGATTTCTAAGGACAAAAGAGCTGGGTTGGCTAAATGGGTGGTGAATCTTTTGCGCAAGATGTCCAAGTGTCTGGAGAAGTTTGCGAATGTCTTGAAGGATGTGCAAAAGGCTTTGAAACGGGAGAAGGAGTTGGAGATTGGAGTCCCGATGGTTTTTGTAGCGGCTGTAAGCTCCTTAAAGGAGAATTTTGATGATACTGTCAATGTCTTCTTGGGTTATGTGACGATTCTGACCCTGCATTCGTTAAGGGATCCAAGGATCTTGGCGAAGTTGGTGGAGAATACTGATTTGATGACGAAGTACCTTAAAGGTTGGTTAGATGGCGAGGTTAGGAAGCTTAAGGACTTTCCTTGTGAATTAATGAGCAGCGTTAGCAAGTATCTGATGTCAAAGAAGGATGTTAGCTTGGAAACTTTAGAGAGCTTGGAAGTTAGCACGGAAATTGAAAAGGAGAATTTGTTTTATATGATTTTGTTCTACTTTACGAATTTGGTGAAGGCCAACCAGGAAACTGGAGCTAGGAAGTGCAAGGTGGCGCTGCTGTGGATCTTAAAGTTGATGAAAAGCTCTGAGGATGTTCCTGAGGGTAGCACTAGGGTTCAAAAGAGGTTTAGAATGTTCGCTAAGCTTTTCGCGGAGCATCCAGTAGTCTTAAAGAACTTTTCGTTCATTACCACGGAAAATTTTGCAGAGACTTTTATCAGCAAGGAATGCTTTGATATCTTTGCGCTGATTCCAGACCTTGGTCTTTATAAAGATAAAGTGTTAAGCGACTTATCTAAAGCAATTGACAGAAAATTTAATGATAAGGTCATTGATAAGGTAGACTACTTTGATATATTTGAGTTTTCTGGCCCAGAAATTAAAGAGTTACTTTCTAGAATCTTAGAATTGAAGAGCAGCAAGTTCTACCAAAATGAACTGACGACTCTAGGGAGACTAGTGAGCAAGCTGCTGGAGATTCTGGCGGTTAAAACGCTAGATTTTGAGTACACTGACCTCGTAATGAAGTTCTGGAGGCATCTCGGCAAGCTCAAGGCTAAGAAAATCGATACTAGCGCTTGGGAATCAGCGATGTTGGTGTTCTTGGGCAAGAACCAGGTGGTCGTTGATAAACAGCAGTTCAAAACGGTTTTAATGGACCTTAGAGACTCTACAATTGCTCTAATCAACCTTCTGGTGAAGCAGAACCCCGTTTTGGTGGCACCACTGTCCCAATTCTTGCTAATCCAGCACAAAAAGCCCGAAATCTTGTTCCCGTTGATGGAACCTAACCTAGGAAAATTAAAGCCTCAATTATTAACGAGTATTTTTGCAAACTACGCACCTGAAATCTTGGAGTACTTCGACGAAGTTACAAATCCTTGGATTGAACAGTTCCCCTTAGCGGTTCAATTTCTGATCAGCAAGAAGTTCACTAAAGAACAGTGCCAGCAGGTTGCAGACAAGTTATTGGAGAGTAGGGAGAAGCTGGAGAGGATCAACAGCAGTTACTTGGCGCTGGTGAGCGTAGTTTGGGAAAAGCGCGCGGAATTTGAATCCCCTATTGAGACAGTAGAGGAATACTTGCAGATCTTGCTACCAATTGCGGTCAGCGCTTTGAAGAAGGCCAAGAAAGATGGCGAGAGGTTGGATGCTGTCACTAGCTGCATGGTCAAGGCTTTGGATAAGTTGGAGAAGTTGAAGCCTGAGGGTTACTTGTTTGAGAAGATTGTTAGGAACAATGCTTTTAAGCAGCTGGTTAATTATTCTCTAAAGCATGGGCTTAAAGTTGATGTTCCTTCTAGTTCCTTGGCTAAAGATAAAGTGATGCCTTCGTTGGATTCTTTGGAAGCGTTGCTAAAGCTAGATGACGCCAAGGAGACTCCAGTCGAGTTCTCGATAGTAGATGTGTTGAGCAAGCTTTTAAATGTAGCGTATTCCGACAGAACTACTGACAATTACGCAGAGCAAATTTACGATATGATGCGCACGAATTCCAACTTTGAAGACGTCCTTTTGAGCAAATCAACGATCAAAGTTTCTCTACTGCGGCTGTTTTTGACGATGACTCGCAAGGTACCTGGTAAAATCGAATCAGAAGATTTGAAATTGTTAATGAGAGCTTATGAAGCAACCCTGAACCCTGGGGACCAGTTGATCCTGATGATCCTCCAGTTCTATGAATCCCGGGGGTTGTACCTAGAAACTGGGCTTCTTTGGGGCCGAGGGGCGACAAACCACACGGGTGGTGACGTAGACACTAACCTTTGGCGCCAAATAACCGCAAGCCAGACTTTAGAGCTTCTAGATCCGGAAATAGTCGCGCGAACTGTAAAATTCTACCCAATAGATCGCGGATTAAGAGCTGTTGAAGTTCTGGAGTTTGAGAGCGAAATATACGACCCAGCGTTCTACCTACCGTTGATGGTGACCTTGTCCACCGTGGACAAACTTCTGCCGACTAACAAATTGGTTAAAAGCGGAGCGATGGCGCTAGTGCTGAGTTCCTGCGCTAGCAACCACTCGGACGTTAGATTAGCAGCCTTCACCGCGCTGAGCCAGTTTTACTACCACTTTGACGCGGCTAAGAATAAGGACAAGATGATCTGGCTACGATGTATTGATGCGTTGCGCAACGGAGTCGCGCAATTAATGGGCCCGGAGGCTAAATTAGAGACCTTAAGGCTCAGCAGTTTGATTACTACCTTCCTTGCGCGTACCTCCCTTATTTCTGCTAAAGATGGCAACGTTATGTTCGCGCCGATTCAGGGGTACTTTATGGCCAAGCAGGCGTTGGATCTTAAAGTTGTCCCCGAGTTCCTGACCCTGTTCCACAGTTCTGATGTCAACCACAAGAGCTACCGGCATTGGATGCTGGAGTGCGTTAGGGATGGAATTAAAAGCTACTATGACGTTAAGCTGGCGCTCAAGATGAGCATCTACAAGATGATCATGGATTTCTATGGATCTGTGCTAGCTGACCAAGATACCAAGGTAAGTTTTGGTTCCATTTATCAGGTTTGGATTTTGGCCAAAAATTAATTGTACTACTTACTATACACGGAGAAAAAAATTTTGCTATAGGAACTCTATAGTAGTTAGTTGTAAAAAGTTCCAGTAGGTTGACGTATTCTTATGGTAACAATACCGTTTGGCTCCTGCGACTCTACGTCGTTGAGCTCTGAGAGCTAAACGCTATTTACCTCTTACAACTCTACAGGATCGTTCTGAGACTATAACAAATTTTTGGCAGTCTGCTTAATAATTTTTTTTACCATTTAGCATTGATAATTTAATAAATAAATGCGGCAGAATGAATTTATATTGCCAACAATAATTGTATATGACCAATAAGAATAGTATTATAATAGAAATAAAATAATAATAGAACTTATATTACAAATAAAAATTATTTGTAAAATAAAAATATGGTCGTCACAAAATTATCTTATTTTCTTAATTATATCAATAAATATTGGACATAAAATCACTACCGTATATGCACAAGAAAAGATAAATAAACGAAGACAAATTTTATTTTGTGTTAAATGGGGTCTTTTTAATGTATTCCGATAACTTATTACTTATCACAATATATTAAACTAATAAATTAAATTAACAGTCACTGCAAATGAACCTTGAAAAACCATAAATACAAAACTGTTCTAACGAAATTCAATTTGACAAAAAAAAAAAACCTATTTCCTTAAATAAGTAAACTGGAGACTTAATTGTCCTCATATATTTTTAATAATATGGATAAGTAACAAAATAATTCTGTTTGTCATTTTAGAAGGTTATGAAATATGTGAGCGCACTCGACTACTGCGCAATGTAAAGCTCTCCCAACTATACCGTTTAGCTCTGAAAACAATCCCGTTGAGCTCTGAGAGCTCAACAACATTGAGTTATCAGAACTAAATAACATTTTGTTACTGTAACTCTACAACGAACAGTAAACTGTGTATAGTTATGGTAACTCTACAATATGGTTACCAGAACGAAATTTTTTTTTCCGTGTATTGGGGTATTTACCCTACTACTATCAAATTCAGTTAATAATTTTTACCATAACTAGATAATAAACTCTAAAATTTTCTCCGTGCAGGCTCTTATCCTCCAGATCATCGAAGCGACAGTGAAGATACCTACAGCCAGCATCATCCTAATCAAGGAGTACAGTCTCTTTAATTGGCTGCATGAATTAGCACCCAAGATTGATCAGCGGAACCGCCAAGTTGTTGAGACTCTTATTAATATTCTCAAGCACTTATCTAGATCTAGGTTAGAAACCACCGACAAAGCTCTAAAAGACCACGCAGAGTTTATGATCCAGATAATTGTAAAAGCTAGCAATTAAACTTGTAAATTTATACTTTATTGAATACATTGTAAAATAAACGAATTATAAAAGAAAATTAGTCTCGTAATTTTGGGTAGAAACTGTGAATAAAAACATCATAGTCCGGGTTCTGGTGATGGTTAGCATGGTGCTGGAGCACGAGGACCAGGTCCTTGATGTCCTTGCTGGGTCCAGCGACCCCATCAGCATACTCAGCAGCCTTGGGAAGGTCGCCGTCGATGGCGGAAGCTGGGATGCTGATGGCGACTCGGGTGCAGCCGGCGTTGAGCGCCATCATGGCGTGCTGAGCGGCATCCGTGTTGAGGACAAGGTTAGCAGCGTGGTTCTGGTCCTCGATACTGAGGAAACCCTCCTTGACATCGCTGATAGAGTAGTTCTGGACGCTCTCCCTGATCCCTTGAGCTCTGGGGTTCGAAGCGTGGCCTCTGGGGTGTCCTGGTGCGTTAGAAGGGTGACCTTGTCCGTACTGAGACTCGTCTAGGACGCGTCCAGCATCTTCAGCGGTGGTTCCTTGGTACTTGGCGCCGCCTACCATCAGGACAATCCTATCACAGGACTCTTGACGGGCCAGGTCCTGGATCCTGCGTGCCACGCTCCGGATGTTGGTTTTCATGCGTGCTACGGTCGCTTCCCTCAATTCTGCGGGTCTCAGACCAGTCTGGGCTGCAATGGCGTTGAATAGGCAGTCGTTGAGACCGCTAGAAGCTTCCTGGGGGTCCAAATTTCCCAGGAGACTCCAGTGGCCCACTATATCCTCAAGCTGGGAGTGAAATTGAACGTTAAGTGGCTCTCCGGGTCTTGAGGCGCCAACCTCGTGCCTCAGCGACATTCCGGAGGACCAGACGCAGATCTTACGATTTATTTCCCGGCTCAAAGCGCTCACCGAAGTCAGATCCGCGGGGCCAGAAGCTTCCAGCTGAGCGACCTGCTCTTCTGCGGCCTTCAACGCCGTCGATGAAGCTGATGAGTCATTTCCTGACCCAATGGACGCTATCGAAGCTCCATCCTGGGACTTTTTCGCGAATAGCTTGGACCAGAAGCTCCTCTTAGGTGATACCGGGTTGCTTTCAACACTCTGACGTGCTAATAAACTAGAACTGGTCTCCTGGATTATTGTCTCCAGCAAATCAGTCGCTGGGTCTCCAGTTGCTGAGGCTGGAACTTGAGAGCTTACTTCTGTAATTACGTGCGCCAAGTTGTTGGTTTCTCCAGTCGATTCTATGTATCGAGGGTGGTCCAGCGCGTGATGGACATGGTTGATTGCGATGTCAATCGATTCGTCACTCTTTTTTTGCTCCATTTTTAATACTGTAAAATAAACCTTCAGTACTGCTGATATTTTAATTTTATTTCAGGACTTACCTATAAATTTTGAGTCAATTTTTCAGATTTTGCAGCCAAATGTCAGTTTGTTTACAAAACTGTTTTGTAAACTCAATTGTTTTTTATTTTTTAACTAAGCAATTTTTGGATTGATTATAAAACTTAATGACCTAATTTCACTTAGAACAAATTTAAAAAACAATCATCACTTTTTATTTTTATTTATTTCAAAAAATACACTGTACAAATTTATAAATAAAGAATATAAAAAATATGAGACATTTTATTGTTGATATCCTCGTCCCCGATACCCTCGACCTCTTGGATCATACCCAGATCCATGAGACCCGCGCCAACTTTGCTGGGAGCCTTGATGACTCCGCGGAACAAACTCCTGACTATCTGGCCTCAATGGCTGCCCAGGACCTTGTTGTGATCCTCTCCAGCTCTGCTGTGAGCCTTGATGACTCCGAGGAACAAACTCCTGGCTATCAACCCTTAAAGGTTGACCACCAGGGCCCTGCGAACCTTGCCAATTCTGCTGACTTTGATAGCTTCCCCTCTGATCAGATCCTTGATAACCGCCCCTCTGACTAGGTGGTCCTTGATAACCGCCCCTCTGACTAGGCGGTCCTTGATAACCGCCCCTCTGACTAGGCGGTCCTTGATAACCGTCCCTTTGACTAGGTGGTCCCTGATAACCTCCTCTATCAGGCCCTTGATATCCACGCCAGCTTCCACGCCCTCTGTCAAATGATCCACGGCCCCTATCAAAGGACCCCCTTCCTCTCTGGTCAAAGGATCCTCTACCTCTCTGCTCAAAGGATCCTCTGCCTCTTTGGTCATAAGACCCTCTTCCTCTTTGGTCATAAGACCCACGACTGGAATAAGAATGGCCACCTCTTTCTTCTCTTCCTGAGACCTGCGACCCCTGAGACTCCTGAACTGAAGACTCACCCTGTTCAGCTTCCTGATTCCCTGCTGCTGCTGCTGCTGCTGCTGCTTCACGTTCTGCCAACCTAGTAAGCCTATCCTTCCTCGGACGGGGCTTCTTAAACCTAAAAAGAAAAAGATTAATCTCAAGGTCAACTAACAGAACAGCAGAACTTACAATTTCTTCAACCGCGGGTAGAAAGTAAACACAAAGACATCATGATTAGGATCACTCTTCTTGTTCAGATGATGCTTCAAAATAATGACCAGTTCAGAGATAGGGTTAGGTCTTCCCATGAATCCGTTAGTGAAATTAGCCCCCATGGGAGCCTCGCAAGGCAACGCCGCGGGTTTGACCCTAACCAGCTCAGAACCTGTCCCCTCATTCAACTTCTTCATAGCTTCCTGAGCCTCGGGTGAACTCAGCACTAAATGAGCGAAATAGTCCTGCTCCTTGATAGAAAGGAATCCCGCTTTCCAGTACTTGCGCGGATCGTCGTCTGGTAGCCTCTTTCTCGTAGGAAACCTTGCGCCCTGCTCAGTTGGACTGTTTTCTGCAGATCCTGCAGATGCGTAGCCAACATCAGGGTTTTCCGGGACAGGCAGGCGATTTCCAGCTGGAACTGTGCTACTGGCGCTCTGGGTGTCTGAGTCGTAGCCGACGTCATCTTCAGGAGCGTCGTCGCAATTAGCAGCGTCTGGATTTTGTGAATAGTTCTCCGCGCTGTCCAAGGGTCCAGTAGCTCCAGGATTCGACGCATGACCCCTGGGGTGTCCGGGGTACCTGTTGGGATGAGACTGGCCCCTCTGGGAGTTGTCCAGGATCCTAGCAGCGTCTTCAGGACCTCGTCCGACGTACCTGGCACCCCCAACCATCAGGACAATCCTGTCGCAAGCTTCCTGCCGCGCTATTTCCTGGATCCTGCGTGCTACGCTCCTGATGTTGGTCTTCATCCGCGCTACGGTCGCCTCCCTCAACTCAGAAGGCCTGATTCCGGTCTGAGCTGCTATGGCGTTAAACAGACAGTCATTCAGCCCGCTCTCGGCTTCCTGCGGGTCTGAATCTCCAAGGAGACTCCAGTGGCCCATGACATCCTCCGGCTGCGAGTGGAACTGGACATTCAGCGACTCTCCAGATCTTTCTGCTCCGCTCTCGTGCTTCAAGGACATCCCGGATGACCAGACGCAGATCTTGCGGTTGAGTTCCCGGCTCAGCGCGCTCAAGCACGTCAAATCCGCCGGGCCAGAAGCTTCTAGGGATTCTACCTCCACCTCGGCGGTCTTCAACGCTGCCTCAGAAGCTGATGAATCATTCCCGGAGCCAACTGATGGTAATGACACGCCATCGTGGGACTTCTTGGAGAACAATTTAGACCAGAAGCTCCTTTTGGGTGATACTGGGTTGCTTTCAACGCTCGGACGCTCGGACACTACTGGAGATGCTGAGGATTCTTGGATTATTGACTCCAGTAAGTCGACGAAGGAGTCTTCTGGTTGGGGAGATAGCAACGGACCGAATTTGGTGATCAGGTGCGAAAGGTCGTAGGTGTCGCCGGTTGATGACACTTGCTGCGGATACTCCAGCGCGCTCAGCACCTCGTTGATCACCGTGTCTATGGTCTCCATTGCGTTGTTGGTCTCCATTTTTTTTAATCCTAATTAAAACAGGGATGTTTAAAATTCTGGAGGGTTGAATTTTTTAAATTTACTTACCGAAAAATAAATTTTGTAATTTTGTTGCTACCGAAATAGTTTTAGATGGTTGTCTAAATTGTTTTATTTTTGTACGATCGTCATTTTTTAACCAAAAAAACTGAAGTTTGAAACTTAAAGATTGCTAAGATTATCAATCCTCAGCTGACTTCAGCAGATGATTTAAAAATAAGTATAGGTAAGGTAAAAGCCCCAATTATTGACAGGGGTCTAAATATCGACACCTTAAATTATTTTTAAATATATTTAATTATCTGCTATAAGAATAACTATCATATAAATTTTTATTAGATTCTAATTAATTAAAAAGTTGAAAAAAATTACTCAGTTTAAAATATTAAATATTAATTACTAGCAGTCACTATGTGAACTGTAAATAATTAAAATTTTGCTTAAATAAATAATGACTTGTTAAATTGCAATGTATTTTTTTTATTATTGACATTTTTAAAGATATAAGCTCATCTTGATGTTACATTCATCAAGAGCTTTCATTTGAGTACCCACATGCATTTTTTAATATTTTTCATATATACATATATATTAGGGTGGCGCAAAAAAACCGACTATTTTTTATATATTTTTAAGTCTCAAGTGAAAAAATGTCAGTTTTTGATGTTTTAAGAGCCCTCTCCAAAGAACAGCTCAAAATAAAATTTTTAATAGGTCGCTCCAAATTTTTTGAAATTTCAAAAATCGAAATTTTTTTTTTTTTCAATTTTTTTTTCTCGTTACGTCATACTTAATTTTATAGACCAAAAAAAAAAAATTTTCCTGAAACTTTCAGTGCAAAATGTGAATTTTAAAAGATCGCTCATTATTTTTTTTTAATGTATTAGTGACTATTTCATTGGATTAGCATTTTTTCACTCGAGACTCAAAAAAACGGGGTAAAACCAATAACTCCCCGACTTTTGAAAATTTTCAACTTTTTTAGCAGGAAGTTAAAAATAAATTGATTAGTAAAAACATTACTTGAGACATAACCACAAACAAAATTCAACGATATTGATAATTTATTGCTTAAAAAAAATGGAATCATAATTTTGTGTCTTAGTGTCAATAATTGGGGCTTTTACCTTAATCCTAATCTAACGAGTCTGATGATTCTGATGACCATGACAATTCTTCATCATCAGATTCGGTAGAATCATCATCACTAGAATCACTAATATCCATTTTATTGATCCTGTAGGTAGCAAAAACGACGAAAAATAGGATTCCAAAAATTTATTCAAATAAAAATTACAGGATTTAGAAAAAAAAATGCAGACACATTGAATTTACCCTAAACGGGGATAGAAAGTGTGGACGAAGACATCATAGTCGGGGTCAGATTGATGCCCGGCGTGATGTTGAAGGACAAGGACCAGGTCCTTGATGTCCTGGATGGCTCCTCGCTGGCCATCATTGAAATGTGCGCCCTGGGGAAGAGATCCAGGTAATTCCGATGCGTTGACGGTGACAACTTGTCGGGTACCACCAGCATTAAGGACCTCCATGGCGCGTCTTACGGGTTCTGTGGACAGGGCCCGATTGCCAACGTCATCTTGATCATTGACGGACAGAAAGGCAGTTTTCCAACTACCATGGGAGTAATTTTCGGCGCTTGCCGTAGGACCGGTTGCTGAAGGATTAGAAGCGTGGCCTCTGGGGTGTCCATGAGCGTGACTAGGGTGTCCTCGTCCCTGCTGGGACTTGTCTAGGACGCGTCCAGCGTCTTTAGCAGTGGATCCATGGTACCTGGCGCCGCCTACCATCAGGACAATCCTATCACAGGACTCTTGACGAGCCAGGTCCTGGATCCTGCGTGCCACGCTCCTGATGTTGGTTTTCATGCGCGCTACGGTCACTTCCCTCAATTCTGTGGGTCTCAGACCAGTCTGGGCTGCTATGGCGTTGAATAGGCAGTCGTTGAGACCGCTAGAAGCTTCCTGGGGGTCCAAATTTCCCAGGAGACTCCAATGGCCCACTATATCCTCAGGCTGGGAGTGAAATTGAACGTTAAGTGGCTCTCCGGGTCTTGAGGCGCCAATCTCGTGCCTCAGCGACATTCCGGAGGACCAGACGCAGATCTTACGATTTATTTCCCGGCTCAAAGCGCTCACCGAAGTCAGATCTGCGGGGCCAGAAGCTTCCAGCTGTGCGACCTGCTCTTCTGCGGCCTTCAACGCCGTCGATGAAGCTGATGAGTCATTTCCTGACCCGATGGACGCTATCGAAGCTCCATCCTGGGACTTTTTCGCGAATAGCTTGGACCAGAAGCTCCTCTTAGGTGATACCGGGTTGCTTTCAACACTCTGATGTGCTGATAAGCTAGAGCTTGACTCCTGGATTATTGTCTCCAGCAAATCTATCGCTGGATCTTCAGCTGGTAATGGAGGGAGCAGAGGACTGAATTCCCTGATGACATGGGACAGGTCGTTTAATTTTCCGGTTGATGATATGTGTCTTACGCGGTTCAGGGCGCGCAAGATATGATTGAGCGCTACGTCCACTGACCTTTCTTGTACGTCCATTGTGATCTTTAAAGAAATAAGGAGCTTAGAGGTTGCTCAGGAATTTTTCCGCAAAATTTACTTACCGAAACAGGAAATTTTGATAAGCTTGAAAATTTTGACGTCTTGCCAGAAAGTTTAAGACTGAAATTATTTACTAAAGATTTTCAGTTGTTTTTTTATAAAAAACAAATTAGGTTCGACATGATTAAAAATCTTTTGGATTATCAATCCAAATGCTAGAATTTTACCTATCAACGTCTCAAATTTTCTTGAGCTAAAAAAAATTAAGGGTACATCCTTAACCTCAATTATATCTTTAAAAGTGTCAATATTTAAGAAAGTACCGTGCAATTTAACAAAAATCATTATTTAATTAACCAAAATTTTATTTATTTATTTGACAAGCACAGCAGTCACATGGTGACTATTAAGGTTGCTAGTTATTTTATTATTTTTAATGATATAATATAATTAATCACCTCGAACGTGACTTCATCTATTCCAAGCATTATTTTTAAAACCACCGTGTCATTATTAAAATTGTCACTCACTTATCGCTGCGCAAAAAAATAAATCTCAATTGTAATCTTTCAAATTCTACTCTAACCGATACATAAAATTCTTAGGATCCCGTCGATATTTTTTCTTTTCATACAGAACATAATCATCAGGTACACTGCTGTTAGTACCAACAAGAACCGGCTTGTCTCCTTTTAGAACTACGAATTTCTCATTTTTCTTCAATACCTTTACCGTGTAAACACCATTGCTCTCAAAGGTCAAGTTTCCTTGGTCAATCCTAACCTTGCTATCAATGCCCGTGCTGATAAGCATGCGCCAATTGAATTTCTTGGTCTCACCAGTAGGTATGGACACGGAATTCCCTTCATAATCAACGGAAACATCATTGACAGCCAGTTTATAATTATTATCCTTCCAGATGAACTTCAAATTCTTCCCAGACTTATTTTCTATCTCATAATAGGCCTCGAGGCCATGAGAAGTGACAACAGCAGCTTCTTTGACAAAACAATCGCCGTCGTACGCGTGCCTGAAGTTGTACTCGTTCTTCCAGAAGAGCAGCTCTGATTCGAGTCTTCCAACGAAGGAATTAATAGAGTTAGGTTCACATTCGTAAATCACAGTCGTTGAATTCTTCCCTCCAACTAACGGAAGGAACTGACCATCAGCTGGAACTATCAGCCCTGGTTCATCCTTAAGGACCTTCCATTCCAGTGGGTCTGGGTAGTCAACGCCCTTGATGTAAATCCTGCGCAACTGGATCCACCCTAGAGCAAACTCACCCTTTGCCGTCTTGTCCGTCTCATAAGCAGCGAACCCAGGTTGTTGGACCCTAACGGTGATCATGGACTCTGGAGTCTTGAACACGGCGACTCCTGCGAAAGGCATCAGCTCAATTCCTTCCTTGGACCCGGTGATGTTCCACCATTGTTTGATGCGCCGCCTGTTACCAGTCCGACCAAAGAGCCCAAAGGGGAGCCAAGGGATGTCGGGATGAAGGACCTTGCTCAGCATTTGGCATGCTATGTCTCTGACGTTCGAAGGGAAACCTAGCGCGTGGTACACATACTCGTAAAACCCGTCCAATGTCGCGAAGTAGGAAAAGGTCACGACGTTCTTGTGCTCAATGCAGGTGCCATCTGCGTAAACTCCGTCGAAAATCGCGGGGCTTCTGTTGAAGTTGATGTGGAACTGCTCCTTAAGTTTGATGAATGGATTCTCGTTCCATTGGGTTTCTTGCTCGAAGATTTTTCTGTCGAAGTAGTACGTCGCGCAGAGACGCGGGATTCCGAGGTACGCAACGTTCATTCCAGTCCGAGTGATGCTGAGCGACCTGTCTAACTTGGTAACCATCCTCATCATCAATCTACAGCACTTGCGCTTCAGCTCTTCGTTGTCTCCGAGGTAGATGTACATTGACAGCAGCTTGGGCAGGCTGACGCTGAACGCGTACCAGTTTTCTCCCCAAGGATAAAGGAGCAGGTACTCGAACTTGTTCATGGCTGTCAACGATCGTCGGATTATGTCCTCGGCGATTGAAAGATGCTCGAGGGATCCAGACCTGGCCCAGAGTACCAGAAGTTTCCCGCCAAAATTGCACAATTCCATGAAGACATTATCATCACAGCGCCAGGCTTCGAATGATGAATGTGGAACTCCCTCAGCATCATCATCGTCTGTCATGAAGACCCAAGCTTTGGTCATTATAATCTCATCGGTCCAAAGTCTTAAATCGTTGGAGTAGGATGACACCATCGCATCACGGATCAGTAGCATTCGATCGGTTGTATCTTTAGTGTCATAATTAAGCAGCATCAAGCTTACCATTGTCATCACGCAAATGTAAATGATCAGGAATAATCTTACTTTTCTGAAAATCATCTTTGGTTTCTAATAAAAGTAAATTTTATATTTTTTTTTTTCGCTTATTATAGTAAAGCGAAAGCTCTGAAAATTTGAATGAAATACGATTGGATTAAATTTTAAAAAAATGGTGGCTAAAAAACAAAATTGGGCGGTCATTGGCCTGGCAGCTGTCCTGATAGCTTGTCTGGTGGTAGGAGTATTTATGCTCCTTAGAGTCAGAGCCAGAGAAGATGAAATCACTAAGAAAATTCGCGCAGCGATGAAGGTAATTGAGACAACAGTGCAAAGGGAGAATCACGATCTAGCAGAACAGTATGTGAACAACATTGATGATCTATTGACTAACAATTTCGCCCATTGGAATAGTAATGCTGATGTCTTAACCAAGCTTACGCTCTTTGCGATCAATTTGATGGAATTCGTGATAGCTAACGGTGAGGAGGAGATACCAAGCTACATCGTAGTAGTTAGAAAAATTGTCGAAATCATAAAGAACGAGCTTAAGAACAAGGTTTTTAGCAAGATAAGCATTCCTTGGGGAGATACCTGGTTCCCGTTTTCAGTCCACGTCACCCGGCTGTTCATTTTGTTCCAGTATTTCGGAAACGACACGTCCCTTGGGTACGAGTGCCACAAGCAGATCATCAGAATCATCCCTGAGATTGGAATATCATTAAGGCCAGTTTCTAAACCGCATAAAGAGCTCAGTCTGTTTTACATGACAGTCCCGCGACTCTGTTCAAACTACATGTTTGCTTTTAATGATTACAATAATGACCTTAAGGTAAAAGCATTCAAGGAACTCCAACAGTACTTGCTGTTTAAACCAATGACCACCTACAATGTCACCGAAGGGTTCTACACGGACGATTCTTGCATTTACAGTGAAAACGTCGGCTCCTACGAGCTCCTAAGACTCTTCAACAACTTCCACGACCGCGTGTACCGTGCCTTTGGGTTCTCAACTGGGGTGAAAGAATATGCGATGAAATTGCTACCCCAAATCCTGCATCCTAAGATCTCGATCGTACCACTTGGGCTCTTTGGACGCGATGGGCGCATTATCAACTATCGTACGTACCCTGTGACCTTCCAAAGCACTGGAATATTCATTGCTCCCTTCATTGGGTTTGGTGTCTTCAAGACTACCGATCATCTCTTCTACGTCCGGGTCCAGCGGCCTAATATCGTTGCTTACCAAATCAAGAAAAGCGAAGGCTCCAAGGACTTGGCTCTAGGTTGGATTCAACTGCGCAAGATTTATCGTCAAAGGGACCCTCAACTCGATCCTTACAAGAAAGAAATCACCTGGAAGACACTCCAAGATCAACCTGGGCTGCTGACATTTAAGAATAATCCACAAGAAAACGTTGATCCTAAGACCTTCAAGGAGGACGTAGCTGCTGAGCTTAATCATTTCTGGGCTGAGCAGGTCAACTCCTTCATTGGGCAGGTCAATAAAGATGAGACTGACATGGATAAGAAGCTCCTTTTCTGGAGAAACAGCTACAATTTTCCTAAAGCTTATAAAAATAAACATGTTGCAATTACAGAGGTCGGCGTTGTCACTTCTAAAGGGATCCAAGCTCATTATACGATTGATAATCAATCAGGTGAAGATCTGAGGTTCAATTACAAAGATGAAAAGAACCCGTGGAGAGTTATGAAAGTAAATGGCAGTAATACAAATCCCTTTCATACGGTGCCTAATAATACAGCCAACAATCCCTCGAAATTCACATGGAAAATGCTCACTGAAGAAGACGAATACAACGTCAGATTTGATAAAAATGTCATGCACTTCACATTCCATAACACGGAATACTCAGTAACAGTTGGATCCATAAATGAGTATTGTACGCTCAACTATAACACTGGGTCCGAAACATTTTACGCAAAACCCCAATAAGAGAAATTGATAAATTGAAAAAAAATTTTTTTTTTGAGCCTTATTTTAGTTAAGAAAAAATGGATATAGTGAGCTTCATTGTGTTGATTGTGATACTAGCAGGCATTTGGTTCGCCTATACTCGGTTTAAAAAGAAGAAAAACGTAACAATCAAAGAGCTATCGGTTCAGGAGCGCATTGAGAAATTAAGGACAGCAATAAAAGATCCCAAAGTGGTGCTATCGTCTGGTCAGCAGAATAAGATCAAGACATATAAGGACTTGGCGGTGGACATAGAGAAGGAATATAAAGGTTGGGACACCAATTTGGCAAAAATGAAAGACATGTGCTTTGACGGGTGCAAGTTCTTGGATTTCCACTTGGCTAAGGTTGAGCCAGTAGGATTGAAAATAGCAGACGCGATGGTCATTAAACTGTTGGGAAAGTTGGATTCAGTCAAGGGCGAAGTGATTAAAGTGAGCATTTGGGAAAAAGACTGGTACTATACTTCAATCAACCTGACCTATTTTCTGGCTCTTTACGTCTACATCGGGACCAATAATGATTTAATAGAAGGATGCAAAAAGCAGATCCTAAGGATACTGCCTAGCGTGGGCGTTGGTCTGACAAAACCGCTCATGGGGTTGACTCTCTTCAAAGCGACGGTTTCTAGATTGTGCGTGACCTACTTGATGCCAGACAAGTTCAAGAAAGACATCACCAGCGCTAAATTTACACAGGTCAAGGAGTTCATGAATTTGACGCATGTTGAAGATGATACGGTCCAGGACGGATACTATGATGATGGATCAATGATCCTGAATGGGTTCGCTAGCTACGATAGGTTGGAAAGTAGGCTTGGATTCTACGAGAAAGCATACCGTAGTATGGGTTTACAATCGAACATTAAGGACTTGGCAGTCACAATATTCCCAAAATTGACTCACCCAAAGGTTCGTTGGTCCCCTCCGGGCCTGTTCCGGAACAACAACGACAGAATTGCTCGCTGGTGGCCCTCTTCTGATACAGAGATCAACCTGATACCCTTTATAGGTCTCGGAGTCTTCAAGTGTCCGGAGTTCATGTTCTTCGTCAGGGTCCAGAGACCTGGCATTCATCCTAATTACCCAGCTATTCCCGAATTGGCAGCAGGATGTATTCAGATCCGGAGGATTTTCCTCAAGGATAATAATACGTACCCAAAAAATTTGTTGAATACTAATCTAAAGGATGAGCCAGGAGTGCTGTCCAAGGTTGGCGGGAGCGTTTGCGAATTGAAAGACAAGACAGGAGGCAACTTCTACTGCTCTAACGTCAGCTCTTTCATTGGCTGTATAGACGATCTTATGTTCTGGAAGAACTCCTACAAGTTTATAGAATTGTTTGGTGATGTTACTGTCACCGAGGCTGGTGTCATCTCTGCTACTGGCTTCCAGGCATGCTATAAAATTGATAACAATTCAAATGAGTCTTTTAAATTTCGGTATAAGGACACTCGGATGAAAAAATGTTATACTAATCCTACAGGTTCAACAGAATTCTTCGATGTTCCCCAGAAAGACAGGGGTGGTTCCAAGAAAACAAAATTCACCTGGACCATGGCAGAGAAATGGATTGATTATAAGGTTGCGCTAACTGCAGACGGTATGGAATTTGAGACATCGACAAGTAAAAAGTATAAAGTCAAGAAAATTACTGGCGATAACGAGCCATATGTCGTCACATGTGGCTCAACAACACTGCTGGGTTCGTCTAGCAGCAGAATTCCAAGTGAGATTACTCACGAAACAATAAAGTATAAGCGTAACGCTAAAACGATGATGTACGAAAAGTAACAGATACAATTAATAATTTTTAATAAAATTAATTAATTTTTTGCGCTATTTATTAGATAAAACAATGAAATTTCAAAAGTTCTTACTAATTGGCCTAGCAGCTGGCATTTTGGTGGGCGCGATAACCTGGATTATTATTTCGTCACGTAAAATTCAAGATGATCCTAGAACAATCCCGATAAAGCAGGCGTTGATTCTCCCACGAGTCGTGCTGAGTTCCGAATTTGTGAGTCTGATTGACGCCAACGACAGCAACCTGAAGGACTTTGCAGATCATGCGTATCCAGGATGGGACCAGAAGACTGACCAGCTCAAGAAGTTAGCTCTGTTCGCAATAAAGCTCCTGGACTTCTGGGCGACTTACGGACGGAAAAAATCACGAAACTATCCAAAAATAGCCGAGTCAGTGGTGAGCCAGGTGGTGGGGAAGCTAAAGCAATCTGACATGTCGAAGGTGCCGTGGGGGGACAACTGGTACACCTTTTCTGCGTTGGTCACGCGGATGCTGGTGATGTACGAGTACGTTGGAGACGAGCCGGATTTGAAACGCGCGTGTCATGACCAGGTGATCAGAATCATCCCTAGTGTTGGAACCACGCACGAGATTCTGGATTCGGAAGATTACAATACGATGAACATCTACTTCACGGCGGTTCCACGACTGTGCTCCAACTTTATGTTCGATTTTAATGCATACAACGCTGACATCAAGACTCCTGCCTTCATCAAAGTCAAGAAGTTCCTCAGCTTTGAAGAAGTGAAGGTCGACGAGCCAAAGACCGGCGTCTACCGAGATCTTTCTTGGATCCACTTCACTAACGTAGCGAGCTACCAACTCCTGTTTGAACTCTACAACTTCCACGAGCGAGTTTACACTGCTCTAGGTCACACCAACCGAATTCGTGAGCTAGCAGAGGCAATAATCCCCAAAATTCTGCACCCACAAATCCCTTACCGGCCGCTCGGGCTCTCTGGGCGGAACGACGTCATCTACAGCAGGACCAACTACTGGGAACTGGTCCCCAACAGCTTTGGAGTCCACATCATGCCTTTCATCGGGTTCGGAGTCTTCAAAACCCCCGAGTTCCTTTTCTACGTCCGCGTTCAAAGACCTGGAATCGCAGCTTACGTCACAAATTCCTTCGAAACGGAAAAAATATTCGCGCTGGCTTGGATGCAACTACCCAAACTCTACTTCAGGAACTATAAGAGCTTCACAGACTATGACGCTACGCTGACTGCTAAGTTGTTGATGGAATCTCCAGGACTCTTGCTGATCAAAGGTGAGGATTACTCATCAAACGTTCTGTCGTCCAAAAACGAAAATCTGAAAGCCTATCACGCTGATCCTGGGTCCATTGATTCTTTCATTGGAACTGTAAGGAGTTCCAAGGACAGGGATGCTCTCTTTTGGAAGAACAAGTATAAGTTTAGCGCAGTCTACGGCAACTGCACCATCACTGAAATTGGCATAGTCTGGGACACTACCGTTACATTTCGGTTGGAAGTCCATAACCAGAGTGGCAAGGAATTGGCCTTCAGACTTAAGACATTGGGGCATTATCTTTCTACTAACGTTTATTCGATAAATGATACGATAGAGTATTATATAGAGGGTAATGCAGTTGGAGAGGTTCTTAAAATTCCTGCGAGAGGGAATCCAGTAGTAATACAGTGGGGTTTTGGGATCCAGGAAGACAATAGGGGTACAATCACATGCCCTAACGGGAGGGTAAAATTTGAAACAAATTGTATTGCCTTCGAGGTACAGACTATTGAAAACAACGGGAACTTCGTGGTTAGAAATGAGAAAGGTAATATTATCGCCGGTGGAAGCTCCAGCAGCGACCCGGAACACTCTTTTCAGTTTGAAAATGTTACACTTGTCAGGAATAAGGACAACTTTATGTACTATCCTAGTGAGACTCATTGATAACAATTGAATAATTAATATTTTTTTAACTAGATTTGAGGATGGCGTGTCTTTTTTGAAAAAATTAGGAAAACAGTTGACCCTGAAGGCCATCCCTGCAACTTCCCGCCAATTTCATACCTAAACGCTTAAAATTGCACTTATGATGTTTTTGAGCTTAAAGAGCTCAAAAATACAATTTGTGCGTTATTTTGATAACGCAATAACTTTTGAATGAACCAACCGATTTTTACGTGGTTGGTAGAATTCGACGCAGTTTTATCAGCCTCATGAAGAATTTTCAGATTTTACTTGATCGAACTAGAAATTTCGGAGTAATTCCAAAAAAAACACTTTTTTTGGTTTTCACGATATCGCTCGAACGAATTAACCGATTTTGACCGGCTTGGTGGCGATCGACATGGTTTTTCGTTATTCAAAGCTGATTAGTTTTTGAAATCGATCGGCAAAGCCGTTTAAAAGTTATCCAAAAAAAACCACATCTGAAAAAATTTTTTTAAGATTCCTCAAAATCTACTGTTCCGAATCGATCTAAATTATATTCAAAATCTAAGTTTAGCCAAGCCCTTTCAAACGGCACCAACCGCGATAAAATCGAACAAGCATTTCAAATGTTCTGATGAAAACTCGATTTCTGCAAAATGGGGTAAAACCAATAACTTCCCGATTTTTGAAAATCTTCGATTTAAAAAATAATCAATTTCAATAGAATCTCAATTTCAATTAACCACGTTAGCATTGTACATCATTGTCTTTGAATCTCTGGTAAATTTGTAGTTTTTATTAAGAGAATTTATGTAAATTTGACTCGTAAAAGAGTCATTAGGGTCACTGCTGGATGACCCGCCCATAACGATAGACGTTCCGTTGTGGACATAGTACCTGCCTTTTTCAAGAAAGACTCCATTGTAGTTGACTTTATTGTACTTAAAGGAAAAGCCTGTACTTATTATTTTAACTTCGTAATTATCAGGACTGTTATGGAGCATCATTTTCCACTGGACAATCGTTAAATTTCCCGCCTTGCAGGTGATAAACTTATCTTCTCGCGCAACATTAACTGTCGTCCTGGCGCCATTATCTTGATCATGCAGGCAAGTTGTGTAAGAAGTAACTTCACAAGAAAGCCGACCCTCATCATCCTTAAAAGCCAACTGCAAGTCGTCTGCCGGTACTGATTCTCTATTAATTTTGTGGTAAATCTGAACCCCGTTACTGGTGACTACCCCTATTTCGGTAACAAACGCCCGATAAAGACCAAAGTAGTAATAGTTGTACCAGAATATCAATTTGTCCTCCAGGCGTCCAATATAGGAAGCTATGTCTCCCTGCCGAGTGTAGATAGACTTGATTTTGAAATTCTTATCAAGCTTCAGCTCCTTGCCAACATCTTTAGCTTCATTGACCCAGCTCATCATACCAGGTTGGCGTTTCAAATCATCCCACTTGAAAATCTTATTGTACCTCCCATTAGCTAGGTAGATCTTCCTCATCTGAAGCGCGCCAATACCCAACCTAACATCAACATACTCTTCAATTTCAAAAGCAGCCAGTTGAGGTCGCTGAACCCTGACATGAAACAGGAACACGTCAGTCTTGAAGACAGCTAGACCCATAAAAGGCATGATGTTCACCCCATTAGCAGACGGAACAATGTTCCAGTACAATCTATCATTGAAAACTTCCCCAAGATTGTTGACCAGTCCCAGTGGCTGGTACTTGATCTTCGGATGCATCAGTTTCTCCAGCACTGACTTAGCAATCTCCCTGATCGGAGTCTTGAACCCCAAAGCTTGGTACACTCGTTCGTGGTAATTGTAGAACCTAAGCAACGCACTATAGCTCGGAACGTTGCCATTGACCACCCAGGAATCATCACGGTAGATTCCATCAGTAGGAGGTCTTTCCTGGAGCACCCGTTCGAAGCTCATGAACTTCTTCAACTTGATAAAGTTTGGATTAACGAGGTCCCGCTGGTACTCCTCCCGGTCGAACATGTAGTTGGAGCAGAGTCTAGGAACCGCTTGATACAGCAGATTCATTCCTTCATCATTATCCAACTCAATAGGATGCAACGCGCGTCCAATCGTCGGAACCATCATCATCAGCTGGTCATGACACTTCCACTTTAGATAGTCCTCTTCTCCAACGTACTCGTACATCGCCAAGAACCGGGTGACAAGCGCGAAGAAAGCAAACCGGTTCTCTCCCCAAGGTGCTTTTTCAAACTCCTGCTTCTTGGGGTTCGCCTTCTCTAACCTGGCTATCAAGGTTTCCACCATGTTGGTGACAATCGTCTGGTAGTTCTCCCAGTAGGAAGAACTGTAGGTCGCGCAGAAGTCCAGGAGCTTCACTCCAAAGCGCGCGAACTCAGTCAGCTTGTCAGAATCGTTGTCCCACCCGGAAAATTGTTCCTCAGAGAACTTGTCCTCGCGGTCCTTGTAAATGGTGGTCTTCTCCTTTTCTCCGAAGCTAAGAGTCGTTGAACTTAGCTTCAAAGACTCTCGAACCGCTTTTATAGTGTCATCAATTGGTATTGACCATCTCCTCAGCCAGATCATCATAAAAGTTATCAAGCTTGCTATGAATATCAGCAAGATGATCAAATATTTCGCATTAGATTTCTCCATTATCGTTTTCTTTACTACAATAAGCGAAACTTTTTTATAAATTTTAGTTAAAAAATTTGTAATTGTATCAATAGAATCTAATCATGGTCCCTGCCGAAGAAACCTACGCAGACAGCAGAGGCTTCTTTCAAATGCTTTTCTATCGCGGCTAATTTCTGCTCATACGAGCTTAGGTAGGACTTCATTGATTCACCGAGCTTAGCGATGTCAGACAGCCCAGTGCCAATGGCGCTGATGTGCGTTGACAAGTTCTGGGTTACGAAGTAGAAGATTATCAGAATCAGCAGGGTGACTATCAGCATGGACCCTACGATCCACGCGGTTTTGTATTTCGTAAATATTTCTTCCATTCCGGTCTAATAAATAGTGTAATTTTTTACGGAAATCTTGAAGTAAGGAATTTTTGGTAAGAATCGACGATAGTTGAGTAGTGCTGTCCAATACCACGCACGTGGGTACTGATAGATGACAGACACTGCTTTATTTCCGAGCGATTGGTCTCGATTTGGTCCAAGTTTCTGTTTATCGCGAGAATATCAGCCGAGAAGATTTTGAGCAAGATAAAGTACGGGATGTACAGCGAAATAATGATGATCAAGATCAGGATGATGATTGGTGCTAATTTGGGTAAGTATGCCATCGTTCTAATAAATAGCAGAAAAAAAATGCAAATTCGTCAAATGATTCTCTAATTTCAAACGTAGTTGTTAAAAGTGTTGTAAAGGTTCTTGTAGAACCCTTCAAAGCGCATCAGATCATCGGAAAGATCTGTTGGATCAGTGTCTAAGTAGCGCTCCAAGGATTTGAATTTGTAGCTGCTGATATCTGTAAGGAACATCAAGTCCTTGGTGTACAGGAGGTTTAGCACCCGCGGAATCGCGATGAAGACGACCTCCGAGCCCTGGAGCTTCCAGCCCATGGCCTGGTCTAGTCCAGAAACAAGCTTGGACACCAGCTTGACGCAGATGTCCTTGATGATCTTGTCATTGCCGATGAACTGGTACATGGTCAGCAACCTGGCCAAGTAGACCACAAATTTAAACCAGTATTTCTTTGAACTGTCATCCAGGATCCAGGATTCCGAAGCTGAGACGTTGTCCAGCAGCTTGGAGAACCCTTTGATGATCCCGGCGACCTGGACCAGGCTGTTCAAGCCGTACCCGTAGGTGATGTAGCCTTCTAGTCTGCGGATCCCGTCGACGCAGAGCTTCTCCAGTTCGCTGCGGTTGTCCGGCATCAGGTCGAACAGCTCCCTTGCTGATTTCTTGGTTCTGAAGGTGTATTTGCGAGGGATTGACAGGTTGTAGGAAGCATTTAGCACTGTTCCTTCCTGCCTGCTGCAGTTCTGCATTGATTTTTTGACGTCGATTATCAACGAATCGGTTGATGAGTCGTCCAGGTTGATTGGTTGGTTGGATTGGTTCGATTGGTTGGATTGGTTGGATTGGTTAGATTGGTTGGATTCGCGGGGTTGGCTGGGTTCGCTGATGCTTCGCACGTGGATCGTGTGCACTGTGATTGGCAGAAGAGTGTCATGGGCCTGGTCGATTAGGTACTGCTGGGATGATAGGTATTTGTATTGACGGATTAGTGTTCGGTTCTTTAGTTTATTGCACGTGTACCTCAGACGCAAGTTAGTTCGAAATTGGTCTCATGAGAAACTTAATTTATCACCATTTTGCCGATTATTAAAGTTTATATCGCATTCAATCATCAATACTCTTTACTTGTTTATCAAACTCGAAACTTTTAATTACATCTACCATTAATTCGAACTTAACGGTGAAAAAAACTTTTGCTGCATTGTAAACTATTATTCTAAATCAAAAGGAGATAATTCAATCATTTTTATTAATTATTATTAATAAAAATGATTGAATTATCTCTTTGTTAATTTCTAATGTATGTACATCAAATTTGTGAGAATATTACAAATTGATAGAAAATAGCAAATTTTTTTTATATTATGCTACTCACCACTGTTACCCCGTCCCAGGGCTACTAACACAGCGCCGGGGAGGGAGAAAGTGAGTTGGACCGAAATCACCGCTGTCCATCTTACAGCAACAAATAAAGTTAATTTCTAATGTATATACATCAAATATGTATATACATTATTATTATAAATAATAATAACCCGGGGAAAAATGATCAGACCCGATCAGGCATGAACAGGCATGAGTCTTCAGGCTTGATCAGACATGAAAAATGGCCATGCCTTATCAGGCATGAATTTACCTGATACAATTGACCTGAACAAACCTTTAAAAAGATTTTACAAAAATAATCAAATAAATACCAATTCAATCACCGGTCAGACACTGTTACGATAAAAGACCGTTGTCCCATCAATACCTAAATGACCTCGGTCATCTATTGGAACCTACTATTTTTCAAAATACCAGTAGTTGACCGCATGCATATATGCATACAACTATAGTTGTAAAATTCTAACCTATATAAAATAAAAATATAAATATGTTTACGTGATAATTCAATATTTACATGAGTGTTGTTATTTAAAATAATTTATAATTATTAAATTATTAGTAATAAAGAAGTATTTATATGATGTGTTTAATGTGTTTCAAATAAGATGACTGCTGAGTGAAGTTTAAATTTGTGCACTGATAGAAGAATTTATGAGCTATTAATAATTTAATTTATTTGAAGAAAATCATTTCATTTAGTAAATTTTAATAAGTATTTTCTAACATTCAATAAATATTTATTTAGGAGGAAAGTACATTTAATAATAGTTAATAAGTATTTATTCATATTTAACAAATATTTATTAACAGTTAATAAAGCTTATTAAATCTGAACAAAAACAGTTTCACTGTAAAAAATTGCGCCAAGTCCACGTTCATAAAACTCATCTCAATAACATTTGTACTTTACAAAAAAAATTAGATTCGTTTCAATAATTTTTATTCTCTACAAAAAGATGTGAAATACAAAAAAATACCAAGAAACCGTCATAATGTTGAAAAAATTGAAAAACAATTTGTTGAAAATTAAAAAATTATAAAAAAAATTTTTTATCGTACTTGGCGCGCGTCATTGAGTACCCCAAATTTTTTCGGAAGAATTTCTACTGAAGATAAAGTTGAGTAATTTATAACTAAGTCAACCTTCACGTTGATACACGTCGATACGCAAGCATACGTTGGGTCGGTTGCATTGTGAGAATTGTGTTTACTAAAAAATAAAAAATATGGCCGACTAAATTGGGAAAATGAGGTGTGAATACCAATCAAAAAGTATAAATTACAATTAAACGAAGAAATACCAAACTCTGATATAGCATAGGGTCCTTCATTGAAAATTAATGACAAAGCTGAAAAAAAAAATGAATCCAATAATTTTACATAATTTCAGATTTCTTGACCACACCACATTTTGTCAGGTGTTTCCACCAAAGATCTAAAAAA